GAATTTATCGTAATGGATACGGATCTGAATAAGCGACTGGAACACGGCATAATTACACTGTTAAGGAAAAAAAAATGCCAAAACTCAACGCAATTTTTAGCAACTGCAATGTTACACTTTATTATACTAAAATTAAATTTTTTTAGAGTCTGATTAAAAAGTTTGCCTTTTAGGTGAAATCTTGCAGAATTTTTTTTAATTTTTCTACAAAGTTTGATTCAAATCCAGAGATCTACCACATTTTTTTAAATCTACCACATTTTTCCTCAGATTCTACCACACAGAATTTTTTTAAAGTCCGATCCAGTGTTGCCGTTTTAGCCCTTTGGTGGCTAAATTTAGCTACCACATACCTTTTTTGGCATCTTTTTTTGGTCTTAACGTCGATGTGAGCGGTCGTGTATTGTCGCAGCGGATTTGAGAACGAGCAACAAGCAAGTGGTTGGCATTTTTTTTTATATCCAAGTTGGAGTATTCGCAAATTATATTATTCTTTGTTTATATAAAAATCTTGGTGATAATTAAAGTGTGTAAGCTAAGTGCAGAAGAGGAATAACTGGCTATTCAAGCGGTGTTGATTGGGGTAAGTCTGGTAGCTGAAAGTTTGTCTTTTGGCTTGGGCAGCGGCGTATTAGCACAAAATGGCGGACGCTTCGGCGTCGCCTGAAAATACCAATATGGACGGTGCGGCTTTTATGCTAGCGCCTGCCATGGTTGGTAATGGCAGCAAGTTTAAGAAAAAAAATAGAACAGGATCTAAAAGGAAAAAAAAGATGCAAATGAGTTGTTAGAGGAGTTTACAGAATCGGACGAGGACATGGGGGTTACCTCCATGACTCCCATAATTCCAATGAGTGGCATGTTAGTGAAGAGGGGAACTTATGTAATAAATGCACAGTCGGACAATATCGTAGATGAAGCGACGGTAGGCAATGGTGTAGGCAGCAACAAAATGGTCGGTAATGACAATTTGGCAGGCAGCAACAACATAGCAGGCAACATAAGTATGGTAGGCAATAACATGGCAGGCAACTACAACAGGACGGGTAGTACAGTTGGAACAACAAACACAAGCTCTAGCGTTCTAGCAAACAGTGGGCCGGTATCAGACAATGGTAACATAAATGCTACGGTTGTAATGCAAAGCGGGGGTGTTCATAAGGAAATTAAAATTATAAACGGTGGGACAGATGGGTGTGAGAATAGTGTTGGTGGGNCGTTTTAGCCCTTTGGTGGCTAAATTTAGCTACCACATACCTTTTTTGGCATCTTTTTTTGGTCTTAACGTCGATGTGAGCGGTCGTGTATTGTCGCAGCGGATT